GCCTCCCTGTGTGAGCAAGGGTCCTTCATGATCTCCTTTCCAAGGAATTTTCTATACCCTGGAGCCTGTGGTGGGTGTGGTCTTGCAAATTCCTAAAATGCCATAGAGGCATCTCTTCTATTGTCTCTTATGTAAGCACAGAAGACCTATTTAGGGGCTGTAATCTCTTCTACAAGCACACCTTCCTTGCCCCCAGCTTCCCCGCCACACACACACACACTTTTATGGCCAATCTCCAAGTTTTAGAAACCCTTTAGCTCTGCTTTCTGCTCCCAATTCTCATAGTGAACCTAGCTAACTGCTTCCAGCAATGTCCATGCCACTGACTGAATGCTGTGCTGCCCTGAAATTTCCTCTGCCAGATTACTTAATCCATCACTTTTAAATTCAGTTTCAAAGTCTGAGAACATAGATAACATGTAGCCAAGCTCTCTGCCATAATATAACACAAGTGGCCTCTAGTCCAACTTCCATTAGAGTCCTCATTCCCCTCTGAAACCTCATGAACACAGTTCATATTCATCAAGCTCACACCAGAATCATCCATCAAGCTCAATTTACAATATTCTAAAGCCTTTCCGGCACACATTCTAAACTTTTCAATATTCTTTCTGCAAACCAACTTCAAATGTTTCTCAACCACATGGTCAGTCTAAACATGGCAATGACTGCACTTCTCTGACCAATTTGTCTTAGCTTTTTCATTGCTATGATCATAATACCTGACAACAACAACTTAAAGGAGAAAAGTTCATTTGTGGCTCAGTTTCAGAGGTTTCAAGTTCACAGAGAGCCAACTCCACTGCTGTGGTCTCACAGTGAGGTAGCACATCCGGGCCAGAGCAGATCAGAGGGAAGTTTCTCAGATCATGGTAGCTAAGAAGCAAGAGAAAAAGGGGAGGGAGGAAAGAGAAAGAGCCCCAGAAAGAATATCCTTCAGTGCACAACCCCATTGAATCAATTCCTCCAGCCACAGCCCATCTGCCTACAGTTAGTACTCAGTCCATCCTTTCAAACTAGAATGGACTGGTTAGGTTAGCTCTCATAATTTAATCATTTCACCTCTAAATACTCCTGCATTGGGGCTGGGGATGTGGCTCAAGCGGTAGCGCGCTCGCCTGGCATGCGTGCAGCCCGGGTTCGATCCTCAGCACCACATACAAACAAAGATGTTGTGTCCGCCGAAAACTAAAAAATAAATATTAAAAAATTCTCTCTCTCTCTCTCTCTCTCTCTCTCTCAAAATAAATAAATACTCCTGCATTAACAGGAGCTTTTGAGGGACACCTCATAGCCAAACTGTTAACATGTACATACCACCCCCCAAAAAAGAAATAAAGAAAAAAAAGTAGAAGACAATAAAAAGCAAAAAAAAAAAAGAAGAAGAAGAAGAAGAAAGAAAGAAAAGAAAAGAAAAAGAAGAAAGCAAGAAAGATTAATATAACTAAAGCTCCTTTAAAAATGACTTTTATAGCTGGGCATGGTGGCACACACCTGTAATCCCAGCAGCTTGAGAGGCTGATAGCAGCTTGAGAGGCTGATACAGGAGGAACACAAGTTCAAAGCCAATCTCGGCAAAAGGAAGGCACTAAGCAACTCAATGAGACCCTGTCTCTAAAGAAAATACAAAATACAGCTGGGGTCAGTGGTCGAGTGCCCCTTAGTTCAATCCCAGTACCCCCGCCAAAAAAAAAAAAAGACTTTTTACAACTTCAAGGAATAGTTCAACAAAATAATAATAAATTGTAAATAAGCAAACTATATGTAAATAAGGGGACCAATTATAGTTATAATGATTCTAAAATTTCTACTATTTAAAAAAAAAACCTATGTCCAAATATTTTTGAAAACATACAATAAACAGATTGGAAAAAATACATCAACTACAAAATTATCACATCATGAAACAGAAAACTTAAATAGGCCAATAAATATTAAACAAATTGAAATGAAAATTATTTTCTTTTAATTTGCTCCAATGGTTTTACAGAAAAGTCCTGTCAAACTGGATCACACCATTGCTACATAGTATAAATTTACTCTAGAGTAGGATCAAAAAGATTTGAACTTTAACAAATGCCAGGGAGTAGTCCTTCTTTTCACCTCGGTCAGTGGACACATCACTGAATGCCCCCTGTGTCAGGCCAGGGACTAGCTGAGCTGGACATGCTGTACTACCAGGCACACAGCGTCAATCTGGGGCCTCCTTCCTCTAGCCTCCATTTCACCCAGCTGGTCCTCTGTCATTTTCAGCATTTACCTGCACTGCAAATCTCTTCTAGTCTCCCTGACAAGCATGTACTCTATCATTTGGTCTCTTTGCCCTCAGAAGTCTTCTCTATGGAACTTACTAGCCCATCTTAACCTATTAAGTCCTGAGCTTCAGTTCTGAATATTTCAACAAAATCAGCTCAGGTGCTTTAAAATAGGATGCAAATAATAACCTAGAGCTTACATGTCATATTAATATTATAATTGTTATTATAATTGTTTTTATAATTAACATAATAATTATATTCTTATTATATAATTATCTATTACATTTTTAAGTTTTTAAAGTGTTTCATACATCCATATTGGAGATGGTAGGACAATATGAAAAGCCCTCTATCTCTGCACTAGAACGTGAGCTCCCTGAGGACAAGGAGCCATGCCAGTTTTCTTCATTGCTGAATTCCAAGGAGCCTTTGTAGCTAGAAGGTGCTCTACAAATACATGTTGCTTAAATAAAAGAACAGGCATTGGCATTTCATATTACCATGCATCCCTTTGTTATCTAGACACATAGCAGTGCCACTATTTATTCATGAAGTACTCTCAGGATCTACTTTTTCTACACAGAGGTTATATGAATTATATTTTAATGATAGTAATATGATTTCATTTTGAGATAAATTGTCAGTGGGAGAAATTGCAGTTAGATAATAGATAGTGCTGATTTTTATAAATAATAAAAGGTGTCAAGAAATAAAAAACAAACAAAATAATAATAATAATAATATAAATTGACTCAAAACTAGAAAATATGTGAAAACTGCCTGATCATTTGTCAGGTTTGTCATATCTTAAAAACAATCAGATGAGGACAGTGTAGAAAAGGAAATTATATAAACCAATTTCATTACACACTTGGACAGTTAACTCTCTAAATCATCAGCTAACTAAATCCAATAGTGTTTGAAAAAAAAAATCCTATAATATTTGTTTGTTTTAGAAATGCAGATAATACCAGAAAATTATGTACTTTACCACAGGAATGATTGAAGAAAGCACATCAATAGACATAGGAAAGGCAATTCAGTTCAACATTACAGTTAAAAAAAAAAAAAAAAAAAAACTAGGTATAGAACAGAACTTCATTAACTTGAAGTCTTTATTTATTAATGCCCTAAAGCAAATACCATAATTACTGATTAAATTTTTTAACATATTTAAGCCCAACAAGAAGATTAAAATATCCTCACTATAAGTACTGTTGAACATAGTAAATGACATTCTAGCTAATAAAATTTAAAAATGAAATAATAGGCAAAAACAATTAGAAAGCAAAAGATAAAGTGTCATTATTTGAAGGGGACCTACAAACGCACATAAGAAACCCAGAATAATCATGATCCAACTAAAAGAATCATAAAAGACACAGTATAAAACAACAGTAAGAAAAACAGTGGCATAAAATCAAAGACCAATACCATTAAAAGTCCAGAAGAGACCTATCTGAAAAGGAAAACCAAATGCATTACAGAGTAGGTACAACAAATCAGTGAGCTAAGGATGGATTATTTAGCAAATGATGATGGAAAGATGGGAGCATTCTTTGGAAAAAAAATTAGTCTGATCCTTGCCTCACGTAATCTCCAAACATGGGCTTCAAAAGTATTAAAAATCAAAACGTGAATAATTAAAATATAAAGTCAATTAAAAGGGTAAATATCATCTTAAAGTAAAAACTATTTCCTATGCAGTATTTTAAAGGAACAAGCCTTACAGAGGAAAATGATAGACTTTACCAGAGCAACATTAAAAGTCCACGTTTAAAGAAGGTCACCACACCCAAAGCCAAGAGATAGACAAAAGATCTGGAATAAATAACTGCAATGAAAATCATGAAGAAAAAAAATTCAGAAAGTCCACAGAAAAATGGACAAAGGTATGAATAAATAATTTACAAAAAAAGAAATCCAAACTGCAATACATATGAAGATACACTCAAGCTCACTGGTATTTAGAAAAAAACAAATTAAAGAAATACACATAAAATGACAAAGAATATAATTCATATTAATTCCAAGTACTGCCAAAGATCTAGGAAATAATAATATTTCTGGTTACAATTAAAGAGTTACAGCCACTGGGGAGAAAATGTTGTTAGTATTTGCAGACATTAAGTGTAGGACTGTTTAATGGTCTAAAGTACTATTCCCTGCTACATACTGCAGAGATAATCTTACACAGGACTATAAGGGTACAAGTACAAAGATGTTCATAGCAATGTTGGATGCGGTACCAATTACTACAATGGAGAACATAAAGAAATATTTTAAATAGTGAAATTTCGTAAGTTAAATGCCTAGAAATAACATATAGCCTCATAAACATAGTATGGTGTAAAAATTAGAAAATATTTATATCAATACTGCTTGTATCAAGTTAAAAAGTACACATGCAGAATACAGCCAGCCATTCAAAGTTGTTCTTTTACTCCTGACAGCTACTTTACATCTTATTCGAAATACATTCACTTTTAGAAAGTCCTGTAACCATTTTACTCTATTTCCTAATTAATTCAACATGCTGTTTTCCGTTGCTTTAAGAAAAACATTTGTAAATGTGAAAAACATAAATAGTTCCAGAACTTCAGACTTTTACTTTAATATCTAATTTAAAAAATCAAAGGGCTAGGGTTGTAGCTCAGTGGTAGAGCACTTGCCTTGCATATGTGAGGCACTGGGTCCAATACTCAGCACCACATAAAAAATAAATAAAAGTATTATGTCCATCTATAACTAAAAAATATTTAAAAATAAAAGAAATAAATCAAGCTTCTCCTTATCCTGCAGGAAATTTTGAGTCTCACCTTAGTGTTTAAGGATTCCTGTCAGGGTCTTTTATCTTGGTTGTCACAGTGATGACTGCTGTTCTATGGTTGCTGAAAACCATGGGTCAGTTTATTACTAAAACTTTCCACATTCCTCTTCTCTGAATTATGCTTTGCTAACTAAAGCTGATGCTAGACAACAGGCATTTAATAAATTTTTTAAAGTCATGAATGGTAATGTATAAAAAGAAAACCTAAAAAACTAATCAGTCATCACATCTCCTACAGGTCATTAGCCAAAGGGGCTCCCAGTGGCCATCTTTTTCCTTGCTTTCTTGAAGTATGTACTCAGATTTGAGTCCTTTCTTCCATTATTCACTCTTTACCAGCTCCAAGGAGACTATGAAAAAAAAAACATTATTTAACATCAAAATAACTTTTTGAAAACCCCAATGTAAACTGATCAACATTCCAAATTACATTATCAGTCCCTTGTCCTTGGTTGAAATAAGTTCCTCCCCAAGGATTAATCTACTGTTGATGTATTAACAAAACCAAACTCTGAACCTGTAACTTGGCACCCAAATGAAGCACTATCTAGAGTAACTGAGCTGACCAGTTGGTCCATCATCCCCAGTAATATCCATTCCTTACTCACCATCATCTTCTTTTTTTGGGTCTGCCATAGGACGTGACAGAATTAAAGCTGTAAAAAAACCAATACTCGCTCATTCATTTATTCATTAGGAATACTTACTAGGGCTCTATTAAATGAAGCCCGGAGGGCTCCCTTCTCCCTTAGTTCATTACACTTCATCCAAGTGGACTTTCTGACAGTTCCCAGAATAGAACAAATTCTTTGCTACCTAAAGATCACTGTTTTCTACATTTCCCACAGCCTACTTCCCACCTTTCTAGATTAGACTAAAATGTCACCTCATCAAAGCAACCGGCACTTACCATCCTGTTTAAAGCAGCCTTTCCTCCTCCAGTCCAGACACCATTAATCTTCACTAGTACACCTCTTCATTTAATAGCACAATTCTTTCTTAAGTATTGTCCAACCTGCTAAAACAAACTCCATGTAGATAGGGATGTGTTTAAGTCCTTAACCATAGAAAAGATTTATCTATATTCTAAATTCTAAATCTACACTAGATTTAGAATTTAATCAAATGAAATTATTTTAAATTTCTTCAGGTAACATCTGAAACTCAAATAATTTTAAACTCAAACCTGTCCTCTCTCCATCCATCAACAGAAAGCCAATGTTTAAACATGTCTAAAGGTCAATTAATTTCAGAATGTTAAAACTAGAAAACAAACGTTAAATAACCAAGAATTTGCAACATTCCTAGAATCACCTGGAAAGATGCAAAAGGTCAGCAGTGGTGTAAAAGATAACTATTTTCATTTGATGCACTAATCATTAATACCTAATTTTATCTCAAGTAGACTATTATGAGGATATTTTTCATACTTTCATTAATAATAGGCAATAAATATTATTTTGGTAGTATAGCACATAGCTTCTCTCTCTTTCCTGTTGCTTCAGAAGAAGGTTTGGGAGAAGTCCCAGGCATAAATACATCATTCATTCCCAAACTCCAACTCGAGGATTGCCAGGATTAAGTTTGTATTTTATAATCAATTTAAAGAATGATGAAGTAAGGACACAATTGGATTATTTAAAAGCTAAATATATCTAATTTAAAGCACCTTTTAAAGCATCTGTTATTCTATTTCAAATGTCTTCTTTTATGAAATGATGGTGATAGCAGACAATGTTTTTTTTTATATTTTTTTAATTGTAGATGGACAAAATACCTTTATTTATTTTTATGTGGTACTGAGGATCAGACCCAGTGCCTCACACATGCAAGGCATGTGCTCTACCACTGAGCCACAACCCCAGCCCATAGACAAAGTTTTCAACATCATCCTTTGGCAAAATAATAGTTGGAAATATTTAAAGTGAATACAAATGATGCAGAAAGTTTACTACTGATAAAACCCAATGCTATGTAAATCAACCACTGAAGGCCTGAAGAGAAAACAAAGTTTTCTTTTTTTTATTTTTTTATGTTATCACTTTTTAATATTTTTACATATTACAAATATATGCACATAATTTCTTTATCAAACATACAACATATGTATGTATTTGCTATTACTTTCATGTGTTACACACATTTTACATTATTATTTTAATAAAAAAAGTATGAGAATACATGTGTATTTGAATTTTTATGTTCTACATTTTGACTTTTCTGTTACATAAATGCTATTTATTTGGACATGGTAAGCAAAACAGTAAAAAAGAAAATATCCTGGAACCAGGGTTCCACAAAAATCTACACCCAGCCACCCACTTTGTGGGAGCAAAAGCACTAAGAAATATTATTAGGAAGACATGTGAGGGACAGTGAAAGGAAGTGTAAGGGACAGAAGGATTTAAAAATCACCACTGAAAATTTTAAATCTGTGCTAAATCTGAAAGCATGGTAAAAGTATTTGTGAAGAACAAGGAGGAATACAGGAAAGGAATTTCAAAGTGTGTGTGTGTGTGTGTGTGTGTCCTTAACAAAGTTTTCTAGGAGTTAGCCCCAAAGCATATAATGCCAACCCCCACATTTCTAGAAGCTTATATTTCAAAACCACTAGTAGAACAATAGCAACCTTGAGTCCTAGTCACTTTAAGAAGGTAGCTATGCTACTTATCAATTCTGAAATTATTTCTGCTATTTGTTAATTATGAACATAAAATGATTGGGTTATCATGTCAACTATTCCACACACGTTTTAAAAGAGAATAAGGCAGAATGATGAAAACAGGATACCTTAGAACCTCTAGGGTAATAAAGAGAATGTGCAGGAAAAAATGAATTATTAAACTAAAAGCACAGCCAACATAAGTGAACACATAAACTGGTATACAGTCTCTAATTTAACAATTAACACTGTTGCTCAATATTAATGGTAAGATAGTTAAGTGGAACTCAAATTTTTTTTTCCACAAGAACAAAATAGGGCTGGGTTACATAAGCCTATCAACCTAGGCTATCCAGGGAGTCTAACCAACTCCGAATTCAGAAGCTTCCTTTCTCCATCTCAGGTAGTTCAATCTGGAGGTGAGGAGGTTGGCAGCTCCTAAAGAACAGTATTTTGTTAAATTTCTTTTTTCTGTAAACAAAACCAGCAATTCCTTATACTAATTTGATGCTGACATAAAAGAAAGCATCTCCCTAAATTGCCCATTTCCTGTTATCCCAAATTGGGAAACAAAAGGAAGTTAACTCTTCCTAATGACACAAGCAAGGGTACCAGAGTTCAGTTCCTCTAAGTTGTTTCTAACATATTGGTCCTAAAACAGGATCACTCTGAAAAAGGAGTTGTAGCAAATGACACGTTTTATGTGAGTATGTGTGGTAAAATATATATATCATGAAATTCATCATTTTTAATTATGCAGATCAGTGGCATTAAGTCCCTTGGCAAATGTATTTGTGCAACCCAAATCATGAACTTTATTGTGGATCCCCAAGAACTCTGGAGGCTCTTGATGAAATATGTTCTTATTTGCACAAGAACATTAACTTTTACTTGACACTCCTCAAACTTACCATTTTCTAGTGTTTATTCCTTTTGAGATACCCTTATTTTCTGTGTCTAAGATTATCAGTGGTATTACAACCCAGGCGCAAAACTAAACTGATTAAATTATCCTGAAGACCAAGTTAAGTCTCAGGATCTATACATTCAACTTGACATGTCAATTGTGAAAACAACTATTGCATCTGCCTGCTTTCTAGTGGGATAAATAAGCACATCCCTTGTTTTCACAAGGATTCTGAAGTTTCAATATTCCTTTACTCAATAGAGAATATTCAACTAGTAGAATTGTCTTCATTTACATTACTACCATAGCTATCTATGGCTTTATAATGATCAACAAAAAAAATAAAAGGCTTTGTTCAAATAATTAAAACTCAATTGTCATAACAGATACACAATATGTATCAACTGATACACAGCACAATTGCTTTTGCCCTCATAGACAATTAAAAGAATAGAATAGCTCCTGCCCTCATCAATCAATAATGGAATAGAACAGCTTTTGCCCTCATCAATCTGCTACATGTGGTTTATCTGAGCAACAACCAATTTTCCACTGTTCCTACTGCTTGTTAATTTTTCAGAATATCAGGGCACTTGAGCGAACCTGGAACATTCAAGTACTACCATAAAGCATTCAATGTGATAAAACTGCACCTGAACATTATGACCAGCTATTATTTTTTCTTTAAGGCTTGCACAAAGCCAATTCTGCAAAACATCAATTTCCCTATGAATTTTTAAGATGGTTTTTCTAACAAAAGAGATATATTGCTTTGTAAATGAGAAAACACAGGCATCTCAGGTTTCATTCTTCTCTCCTATGGCTAAACTCTAAGGGGCATCTTTCTTGCCCACACTCAATACAATGACTACAGCACTGAAGGACAATAACTGGAGATCAGCATCATCACAGGACTGGCTTGTTCACCTCATGTGTTTAATGTAGGCAAAGATACCTGGCTGATCCTAAGAATACAGCTTACACGATAATTTATTACTTCACTGACAGAACCACCACCAAATGAGAAGCCCCAAAAGCACTGGAACAAGCAGCTCGTCCAAGCAAACACACTGATCATTTTTCAAAATGCGGATATATTTAAATCAATTTGTACTGCAGTTCATTTCACAGGCTTTAGGAATCCCCTGTGAAACCCTACATACCAGCACTACAAACTTAAGTTTATTTTCAAGCAGACTACCAAATAATGAACTAATCACTGAACCATCTTATCTTTATACAGACCTGCATCAGATCAGATTTGCTCATCTCACAGGCTGACAATCATTTTACTAACATCTAACACCAGCTTCATTCCAGCACAACAGATTTCTGCTACATAATGAAGATACAGAACAAAGGATTAAATGAGAAAGGTGGCTATTCGTACAACAGAGATTTAAAATTAATGACAGTAGTTAAAATTTTTCTAATTTAATGGCATGGCTCAAACAGTTCAACAGATGAAATCAATCAGACAGTTGTGTGTAGAGAAATCCTGTGATATTAATAACAGCTTCTGGTTCCTGGGAACCTATTTCCTCAGCCGAGTGTTTTCATATCTATTCTTGCATTGGAATTTATAACATTCCTGAGGTCTAAAGTAAGGGCTAAGACCATCTTGCCAAATTTTAGTTGGAAACACTAAGCCAAGTCAAGGTCACACTCTTAGTGGAGTTTATAACAGTTCCCAGCAAGATGTAGTTAGTCACAGGCATTGTAAACTCGGGTTAAAGACCATCCTCCAGATGTCACAACTAATCAATCATAGTACCCTTTTTCAGAGATTCTGCACTGAGTAAAATCCTCAATTAACATTAGTTAGCCATTATTCAAAGTGCTCGCTATGTACTAAACCCTGTGTTCAGCACTGTAAGATCACCATTCAATTTAATTCTAACAATTCTTTTGAGTTAGGTACCTTTATCAACTTCAGAGAAGTGAACCTGATGAAGCTGCTCAGTATATCAGGTGTCTGGATTTGAATCCAGAGTTTGAATCAAAACCCCTGTTCTTAACTCCCCCCCATCTGGCCTACCAAACCACTGATGTGGATACATGTCATTTCAGAAAACAGAAGGATAAAACAGTCAGGATAAAAATCTGAAGATTTAATTAAGTTTTCATCTACTTATTAGACTTGTGGGTCTAAACCTTAATTTGTTCATTTGGGGAAAAAAAAAAATCAAACTAAAATCTCTCTCTCCACTCATATGGTTTTTGAATAGGTAACACGACTTAGTAAGTGTTGAAGTGTTATTCAAATGAAAATATAAGACTGTTCTCATCCACAGTCTAGTTATCTCTGTAATTATCACGCATTTGGAACACATTATATTCATACAAGGACTACAAAAAAATAGGGATATAACTTAAGCTCATCACAGAAGTCTTCTTTTCCAGTAGTTCTCAAAGAGGAGCAGGTCATCTGTGGGCCTTTCTCAATTCTGATTACTTGTCTTAAAGGGGCATTTGTCAGAATACAGTGCACAAAGAAATAAGACTTGTTCTACAGATGGTTCCATTGCACCCACTGGCAGAGGAGTGGCCTTAGTACTGCAATCTAGACTACATAAACTTAGGAGTTAATATATTCAAATTGAAACCCCTTCTCATGTACTTACTTACCATTAGACCTAGGAAAGCAAGCTCTGTTTTATAAACCTAGCACAGTGACTGCCTTATACATATTATCTAGTCAATAAACCTTCATTACTACTTACAGAATCACAGTCTGATGGCTTACTTGAATTTCTTGAAAGCAGTGAAGAGTAGCCTATTCCAGAGCTGTTAGTTTGATAACATTGAGCCCAAATCTGCTTCTCTGAACCTATCTTGTTATTCTATTCTTGACTTGTAAAGCAAAAGAGAGTAAGTTCACTTCCTGTTTAAGAAACTTAATAAAAGTACATTAGGAGAATTTAAACATCAGCCATACCACTTAAAAAAGATATCTATTTCCAATAATTAAACTATTAAAGAATAAATGGTACAAAAAGGTTTGCATTTCAATAGAACTAGCTTTATTTGTTTATTTATTTATTTATTTATTTTTAAACAAAAGAAATTGTCTAAAAGCAAATGAAGATATGTACCGAGGAATGGGCATGACCTGGTACTTACAAAGCTGCTGCTGTGCCATAATGGAAACAGCATATAGTGCTGTCTGCTTGAGTAATCTGGAGGTGCAAGTTAACTAAAAGAAGGTGCTCTGCCAAGCAATCAGCATGGAAAAGAAAAACATAAAATAAAAACCACTATAAGTTGCTTCCAGAGAACTATGTTGTGGCAGCATGAGAACTGGCATCAACTCACAGTCTTCTCATTTTCTCCATTTTCTATAATTTTCCTCTTCTTTTCATCTGTTTTTTTCTTGAAGATGTTATTTCGGTAAAACTGAAGTTCTTTGATGCTTTCACTAATGTCATCAAGTGCCCTATAAGTAAACATATCACACTGAATAAAATGTCCAAAAACAGAGGAGATGGAAATCATTTTGTAAACATAACTTTTTATAAATAAGAACAAGTTACTGTAAATGCCACTCTATGACATCATCAAGAAGTAGAACATTTCAGTAAAGCAGTATGAAGTGTTTTGTTCTTTAAAAAAACCTGATTTATAAAAACAAATTTGTAAAATACACATAAAAATTTCCTAAACTGTTTAATAAGGTTACTATATGCTCCAATGGGCAAAGGAGGGGAAATACAGGGTCAAATAAGTTTAAGGAAAACTAAATATTTTTTTCCTGAAGTTTCTGCATTTAATAAACTAAGGTATCTTATGATTCCTAAGAGGAAGCTATGCTATACACACAGTATTTCTAAAACTTTATCAACCACATTTGTGGAACACTTATTAACAAATCATGAAACATAGTTTGGGCAATACTTAATGATGCCCCTGAACAAAATATACTGACATACTCGAACATAACTCATGATTCAGTCATCATAATAAACATCAATTATCAGATCAGACAGTACCTAACCATAAAAGAGGATCTACCTCCTCTCTCGTGGTGATTTGTGCTATAATCAGTGGCAGCCTGCCTCCATCTAACAGCCTTTCTTCTCCTCCAACATGCTGTTTCTCATCTGTTGTAGTCTGAGAAATCAGGTAACCAAGATTATTAGAACAATGTGCAAGTAAATCAATAAGCTCTGAATGATGGGCCAATGGCCTCTTCTAGAGAATCAACTGCTAGAAATTTAATGCAAGTTTCATGAGTTATTTTTGTGGCTAAGGCAAAAAAAAAAATGTGCTTCCTTCCCAGATCCTGGATATATGGTATTAAGCTATGAAAAACACAGCCTTTAAACAGGTAAATGTATACAACTTCTAATCACAATACCAAAACCTAAAACAGATTGGAAAACCCAATGTACTTTTATAACCCACTATGTGGCAAAGCCTAACCAAACTCAATATGGAGGCTATTCATATTACTTATTATGCCATTTGTTGTATTCCATGTTTCACTGAAGAAATACCAATGTGTTGTATTATGGTCAGCTTTTTTAGGAGCATTACATGAAACACAATACAGGTATATTATGATCTTCCTAAAATCTAAAAAATTCTGAAATCCAAGTCATACCAAACCCCAATTATTTCAGGTGAGGTTTTTTTAGATCAGAATTACTGTGCTGTAGTCCAGGTATGCCCAATAAAAATACATGAGAATAACAGACATTTGGGGCTGGTCTTTCTCTGCTTGCCTCCAAATGCAATGCAGATAGTTCAGGATCAGTAAACAAGTGAACCAAATGCTACCCTTAGAAGACTACTGTCAAGTGTTATGTTCCTACATGATTCTAAAATAAAAAATTATAAAAGAAACAGTACAGAACACTTGAATGCACAATATCTTTAAATTCAATCAGAAAAATGAAAATGTTGAAGTAGAACAACTATATCTTACAACTGTACACAAAGTGTTCTAATTTCAAATGGTTGAATCCATATTCTCTGTGATTAGAAAAAGCTGCTCATTCCTAGGAAGATTGGATTTTTTCATCATACCCATAAACCAAGTGCTTAAACATTCTAAAACTGTAATAAAGACTATCTGACCAAAAAAGAGATTATTATCACCCTTCTCAGAATGGAACACTAGAATCCTGACCTGAATTTCTGACAGTAAAAAGTTATTTTTCTGCTAGTCAATCTTCATGTTTCCCCCAAAGAAGAGTGCAAAAAGGAAGTTATTTGAATTTGGAGGTTATGTGTGTAATAGACTGAGAAGCACTGTGTAGGATCAAATCTTACCTGTGAGAAGCAGCCTTCTTTGGTGCAAATTCATATTCTTCTGGATACCAGCGTCTATACACAGTAGAAATGGAACTCTCAAAGGAAACTGTCTCAAATATACTGAATGAATTACCTCCTTCCAGTAATTATTAACAATGCAAAAGGCATCTGGATCATAACTATCGAGTTGCCTCTTTGCCTATGATTCTCTTACACCCTTTCTTCTCTTCCTTCTACATATTCTCTTTGAACAAGCTCATCAATGTATAAGACTCCGAAATCTGTAACTCCAAGTCAGCCCTCTCCCGAGTTCCTGACTGCTGGACATCTCCACCTAGAAATCCACACTCCTACTTCATATGTAAAACCACACTCACCCCTCTCCACTGCACTCCTCCCCCATTCACCAAATCTACTCTTCCTCTTATTTCCCCTCTTTCATTGGACAGTTCTGCCCACCTGAGCTGTCCCAACTAGAAGCACCAGAATCCCTTTATACCTCCTCCTTGTCCCCACTGGCTCATCTAAACAGTCAGTATCATGCCAATTGACTCTCTCAAATTTTATTTCCATTCCCCTCAAACACCCAACTGCCATTTTGTTTCTCCAAAAAGATACAAGTCTCCTTTCTTATCTATCATTTTTCTTGCTACCTTCTAATCAGAATGATCTGATCATGACTCATTCTTTTATTTAAGCCTGTCAAAGGAGTTCCTTCCCTCAGTAGATAAAAATCTAACCTTGGCATGGCACACAAGCCCTCCAATACTGGGCCCCACCCTCCACCTTTGCCAAACTCATGCATTGCACTGCAGCATTAAGAACAGACAGTAATTCCCTGCACACTTTTGCCTTACTTTCACATCCTCGTAACTCTGCCCACTCTCAGGAATGCATTCTTCTCACTTAAATGCCTAGAAAGCTTCCCTTCTTATTTAAACCTCAATTTAAAAGCTACACATACAGCTTTTTGAATTCCCATTCCTCTCACTCCAGCATGGTGAGGTGCTCCTTCCTGAGTGCTCTCATACTCTACATGTACACTCACTC